ATGCTCAAAATTTGTTTGACCACTCGATTTGTATGAAGGACAGAACAACTCCAGGCCATCATGGATCGCTGTGTATAAACGTTCTTATTTACGCTGGTGCACATTTCTCAAAACAGTCATAAATTGCCGCAACGCCTTTGGGTGCTATCGATTCAGACAGACCCAAGACAGAAAGCCATTGTAAAGTGAACAGCCCCGACGATCAATGCGATTTGGTCATTGTAGGTCTGATTCCTGAAATCTAATAATGCCACATGCCAGCAGAACCCTCTCTCTCTCTCTCTCTCTCTCTCTCTCTCTCTCTCTCTCTCTCTCTCTCTCTCTCTCTCTCTCTCTCTCTCTCTCTCTCTCTCTCTCCTCTCTCTCTCTCTCTCTCTCTCTTCTCTCCACGTGACACGATGATATCAAGCAAGGACTTCGACACTATGCTATATGCACTATGTTGCCAGCTACGACAATTATCCGCATTTGGTCGGGATGTTTACTTCGCTGGTCGGCTTCGCCTTTCGAAGTTTGAAATGGTCGGACTGAGGACAAATCCGTCCTATAAATCCCCCAAATCCCCCAAATCCTACCACGGACGAGGTCTGCTGGTGCATAGTTCGATTGGAAGAACCATGTCTTTTGTAAACTAGCTGGTTACGTTCCTTCGTGCAAGTGTGGTAGCACTTGTCTGATAACGTGCGCATTATGTACGTAAGTAAAGAGACTAAGTAGTTGTTTCCTGATTCTTTAAGCATTACTTGCCTGCTTTCAAGCCAAAATCGTTTGCACCGTCAGGCTATGACACGCCATTCTCCGTGCCTGGTACACGCCAGGGGTGAACCTTAAACCAGTGATTCAGCACCCCACTAAGGAAGACCGGAAGGCTAATGTGGGCTCGAAATGCCCAACATATGGCAATGGTGCTAAGCAGCCACTGAGCTGGGGGGTGGGGGGCGAACGTGACTGGTGATCATGCTAATCATCGCTTCTGCGCATTCACCTTCCGTGCTGTCATCAAGCAACCGCATCGCAGAGTGAGACTCCAAAAGCCACCGTCGGCGGCCATTCCCACCAGAGGCCTTGCGTCAGCTGGATCGCCAGCGCGACCTTTGGGGGTCGAATGACCTTTCGGTAAAGTGCCGCCTGTTTTGGAGCGCGCTTACGTCACGCCTGCGGACAGCAGGCACGCGAGTATCGCATTCCATCTGGGTCTTGCACCGTAGCCGAAGTCGGGCCTCAATATTCATGGCGTCAGTGGCCCCGAGCCGTACAGTCTCCAGCCTTCCTGGTGCTTGGGTCTGTTGCATAATGCCGGGACCTAAGGCTGCCAGGTATGGGACGGCCTTGCTGGATTCCTCAGAAGGTCGCCATGACAAACTGGGCCCGTCGCCTGGTGGACGGTACCAAGCGCGCGCTTCATGCCTTATGCAAGGCGGCTTCTTAGGACCTGGGTTTGTCCAGAATGCTCTTTGGTGTGGTCTCTCTCCCACTACCTCAGGATTTTACTGCGCGATTTTCCAGCGACCGGCTAAAGCGATCATGTGAGTCAAAACATGGAAATTATTCCGAACTAAGCTAGTTGCACCAAAGGCGTAACACATCCTAAAAAATCGATGGTGAGAAGAAGGCGGCGCAGCATTCAAATTGGAGGAAAATATTAAGAAATAAAGCGGGGATGAGTGAGTAGAGATGAACATCACATGTGTCATATCATTTCCGAAAAAGGTTTAGCATTTGGACTGAGCTAGTTGTAGTACTTAGAGCAGTACTGTAGTACTTAGATGCACGAATACAATGGCTCTAAAGGTTTTTGTATAAATATTCTTCAAGATAAACGAAGAAATAGGGACTAGTTTTCTGCTGCTTATTCGTATAACTGCAAATTGTTTGCTCGGGAGAAGATAGAAGGTGGAAAAGCAGCCCGTCTTTGACGAAAGCAGCGATAATGCCAGTGGCAATGCCGTCAGCTCATCGTGATCATCTCAGTCATCTTCAGGCAACATAACTTAAACCGACTCTCGCCAGCTCATGTCCTTTAATGCAACCCTGCAAATGGCCCAAGGTCCCTGACCGGTACATATTCAATGTACCTTGTTTTGATGCGGAGCCTGCAGCATTAGGTGAAATTAATTGCTAAAGGCTCGTTAAGCCCCGCCGCCGGAACATTGTCGATTGAGGAAAGAGGTTGGTTGATCGGAATAAAATAGTTGGCACTGAACTTATTGATGAAAATAGCAAAACAAAGATAGGCTGTGGCCTTGAATCTTTCAGGACACAGGGTTAGCTGAACCAGGGACGTGCAAAACAATGGGGACTGTGTTCGACATTTCAGCCGCAGCAGTGAATAAAATCGTGGAGAAGTATGTCGCGTCAGGGAGAAAATCGTGATGTCTGTCGTCACTTCTGTCTGTCATAAGTCTTCTGCCGATTCACGAAACTATCCATGCGGCGCAAGATATACGTTGATTGCGAAGCTGCATATGTCCCTCATCGTTTATGCATGCTATCTCAAACAGTGGAAGAAATGACAACCAAGATGGCGCGGCTTCTCGTTCAACAGCCAAGATCAACAATGTTTTAGTACCTAGTAGCTCGTGCATGTGATAACGCAACGACATGGAGAGAGGTCTTTTCAGTTCCCAGCATGTGCCATTTGATATGCATCTGAAGTTGCAAAATGGGTGGAAGTTTCACAAGTGGCAATATGACGCTTTACGCTCGGCTAGAATGCCTACTAGTTCGAGCTCGGCGAACGTTGCAGATTGCGGCGGCATGAAAAAAATATAGTGCAGTTTTCGGAAGCACGTGCGATCTTGTAACGACGCATCCAGCATGACGTTTGCATTTCTCCACAAAGCACGATCTTTACAATTTTTTTTTGTTTTCGATAATATGTTAACAAATTGCATCCATGGCATGGCCCACATAGATTTAGTTTGATACACGAGTGAACGAGTGAAGGTATAGGCATTGGTGGTGAGGGAATCATTTAATATTGTGCTGTGCGTACTTACTAAGGAAGTCACGAAGTGCTCATCACAGTTTCTGGGGAAGGTTGGGTGTGATGTCAATGTCTTTAAAGAGGTGCATGAAAGCAGCACATTTACATCGAAAAGCTAGCGATACACACTGATGGTGTTGGGGCTGGCAGGCCAGTGTACAGCAATATATATATATATATATATATATATATATATATATATAGATATATATAATATAGAGACAGAAGTAATAGCCTTATCCTTCGCAGAGAAGCCAGAGAATTTAGAGATACGTTTGCTAAATGTATGTAGATATACATACACTATGTTTTTCCCAAGGAATAACGCTATTGCTTCTGTCTTATCTATATGAACAATGTTCCTCGCAAATGCACTTAAAAACCTACACACAGCGAAAGATGGTGGAGCTCGAATGGTTGATTCGCGTAGAAAACCACTTAGCATGTGAAGGATTATAATCCCGTAGGAATTTCTCCGAATCAAAATAAGTCTATCAGCAAGGCAGCATTAAAGCAAACCTGCATTTCTCGGAACCTGATTACCTACTGTCTCTTCCCGCGAGCATTGCACGACGATTCGATAAACAATATTCTGTCGCCGACAGCTTGCGTCTCGGTGCACGAACAAGATCAGTGCGCAGCAGCCGGCAGGGGCAGCCTGCCCGAGCCGTTCTCCTTGAGATAAACTTGGCCGCCGAGGACTGGGGAAAACTGGGGAGGCGTACCCGGCTCTGCCGGCCGCCGCGCGTCCCGGAGCGACGCGGGCCGGCGTCGGCGCCAGCCGGTGCCTGCCTCTCTTCCCACTGGCGGGGCGCGCCGCGTTCCACGTCGTCCGACCGGCGCCAGAGGAGCAGCGGCAGTCCATCACCCGGCACCACTCTGTCGGGTCGGGGCCACGGTGGGCCGGCCGTGCCCGGTCAAACTGCACCGGACTGCCACGGGGACTGCAGCTGCAGCTCGACTGTTCGTCCGAACGGGGCCGTTCGTCACACGACAGATACTGCGCCGTTTCCTTTGGTGTCACTGGATGCCTTCGCCAGACCGGTCGCCGCTCTGGTTTCTCTTCCCATGGTCCTCTCGCTCTGGCATCTCTGGTCGGCGGCCAATCTTACATCCGCAAAACGTTGTTCTTCTCTGAGGCCCTCAGCCTCGCCGGACATACCGGAGTGGCGCCAACGATCTCGAATAAGCTTGATGCGAGGGTGTTGTTCCTGGGAAATCTGAAGAGGTCTGGTTCTCTGTCAGCGCGGCTGATGCCGCCACCGCGCCACTTCTGTCTCACTTCAGTGTGCGTTAATGATTGCATATATATGGTTTCGCCAGTGAGCAATTTCTAAAAGCTTGCATGGTTTGTATTGCTTATAGCCTGCCTAATTGGAGCTGCTCGTTGGATCAACCAATAAAGAACCGGTTGTACTAGTATCATTACCACGTCCTATTACGAACCTGTCATCACGTCCGGCACGTGTAGGTGACGTTTTACATGCTTTTCACGCTTCATTTTATCGCTTATATCCACAGACGTGGGAAAATAGTTCAAGAAAGCACTTCAAAAAGAAGTGGTGATTGCTTTTCGTGTTGCCAATTTCGAGTAAACACAAAGTAAGTGTTTTGCATTCTAAAAAGCGGCTCATTTATGTGCAAATGGTTTTGACAATCAGTTTTAGAAAGTAGTGGCACTGACGTTAGTGCCAAATCCTATGCTCCATTTCAAAGTATTATC